AAATTAAACCCTGAAAGCTCAGGAGCGTAAATCTGGACTGTCGGCCCTTTACGCTGTGCCTGTTTAGGTCGAGTCCAAGCTCAGAAGGCCAGTATTTGTATTTGCTTTACTATTCAGCATTTATGCTGTTAGCCTTTAAGCTACTCAGCTCTTCTGCTGAGACTTCCTCTTCCAGTCATGCCATGTGGCTGGGTCTTCCACTCTACCTAGTCCTATTCTCTAGATTGTACATGGTCATGCTCTCTTCATTGCAGCAACACATGTTCTGGCTTTAGCCGTGCTTCTCCATGCTCCAGCAACAGCTGCATAACAACCAAATCCTCCACAGCCTACCAGGCGGGTTTCAAAACAGTCCCTGTCTATAACTAGATTATGTGGTACTGCCATGCCAGGAAAGAAACTGTGAATCTTCCTGGTTTTCTAACCCATCCTTCTGGGGTCTACCCCTAACACTTGTCAGGGCTTTCTCACGACAACACAAGTTGAGGTCTGAACAAAACAGTGATGTGACTCTCTCTTGTGTATTTATGTCTTCAGCATCCATCTACACGCCAAACAAACTGCTTAGCACGGATATTTGATGGCTGATGCTTTAATATCAATGCAAAGGCTTGGTTTTTTTCCCCACAGCTGTTCTACTTGGCTGGGCAAACCCTTGCAGGAGTTGTCAGCCAAAGGAAATTAGTGTTTGCTCTGTTATGGAGTCTAATTGGTTTTTCTTCCACTGACAGTTCTTCAAGCTAAATTTAGGGAGCCAGAGAAAATTAGATTGAATGTTATTTGGCTGAGACTATGGCCTGCTTTCCATATATATATATATATATATATGTATGTATGTATATGTAATATACAAATATATATCTATATCTATATCTATCAAATGACCAAAGGGAAGGGTTCCTTTACTCTATGCTGCACAACTAGTGAATATGAGCAAATATCAAGTCCATAATCTAAAAGATAGCTTCATTAATAGAATGTACAGTAACTGAGTGATCAAGGGTACCTGTAGACACCAACATGACTCATAAGAAATACAGAAAACTAGGTATCCAATGAGCTAGCAAGACAGAGCTGGGATTCCAATCATTCACATAAACAAAGTCAATTTACACCAGCAGTCACAATTTGTCCCATTACTTATCTGCTCCCATCGCTCTAGAGTCAGCACATAGCTTTGCCAGTTCTGATAATTTATCCCCATGTTTCACAATAATTGATGAAGTCAGCACCTCCTGGAATCATGCAACTACAGGAGAAGCTGAACTTTGATTTAAAACAGCAAGTTTCCTAACCTCTTGTTTACAAAGAAAAATCTGAAGATGTGACCCCACACCACAATACATTATTGCTCATGCAGAAAGAAAATAATTTTTAGGTGCATTACTCATTATTTTTGAGCACAGTGCATTTGTAGCTATTCCTGCAAGTCTGACTTGTAAAAACACATGCTGGTGTTTCCATGCCTAGCTTGTGTAGGAAATTAAAGTATCTGGGAAGTTAGGCTCCAGCCAATTAGCATATATCAAATAGACCTGTTCTGTAAGTACCACGTGTTACATCACTGGGCACATAAAGGTGCATATTTGTACACAAAGTTAAAGCAACATTTCAGTTCTTTACAAAGTGAATTTTATTCCTATTCACCATCCCTCAAAACAAGAATAAATTTAGCAGAATAAGACTAAGCAGCTTTTCATACCATGGGTCATCTCTTCAGCACATATGCCCTGCACTCAGCTGGCTTTCTTCTGACTTATCTCACTGATCTATTTCAGGTTATCCTAGGACAATCGTTATCTTTCCTTTTTTTTATTTTCAGTCTGGGTTTTATAGCCCTTCTTCCCAAAGAACCTATAGGGCATAGCATCAGTCACAGGCTAGTAGTACCTGCATCACTCCTACCTATTTTTCCCTTGTCTGTCCTTTATTCCCTCCTGGGCAGGGCTCAATTATCCAAAAGTAAGCTTGTCAAAAATTAGAGAATTTTTTGTCAAACTACATTTCACAATCAATTGACATTTTTCTCATCAGAGATAATATCAATTTTTATTAACACCAGGAATGTGCAGGGCTTACTCCATTTCTGAAGCTTAATTTTGCTATTAATTTATTGTAAATATCATCTTCTCATCAGATGACACATAGCTGAGTTACTGATAAGGGTCTTTAAAAAAGGGCCCTTGTTCATGCACTTACAGCTTTGTACTTCAGTCATTGAACTGTGAAATTCTATGCTGCAACTATTCCCACTCAAAAAATGCAGCTTTTCTAGATCTCCACCAACTAGCTGTTCATATGAGTTCTTTACTCATTATGTTTTAAAGTTAGAACTATGCACAGGTTCTCCACTTAAACGCTAAATGCAATTGAATAAGCCTCCTTCCCATATCAATGCAGTCGTCTTATATCTCTTAGTCATATTATAAAGTTCTCTTTCATCATGCAGGGGCAGTCCTATTCTTGGTAAAACCATGCTCTGAGGAGAACCACTCCATCCACCCATTTGTACTCTGACACAAGCCTGGAGTCAAGGGCCAAAGGAAAATTAAGCATTCTGAACAAACTGCAGGCCAAAGAGTAGATGAATGATAAGAAACTCCACAGTAGTAAAGGCTAAGCAGTGGTAATCTGCTCCCACCTCCTTGCAACGCTCTTCTGTCTAATGGTTGGTGTTTAATCTTTAAAAATCCAACACTCTGTATCCAGCTATAGCAACTAGACGCTGACTCACTTGTGTTCTTTAGCTGTTTTATTCTGCCACTTCACTGCTAGGTGTTCCTATTATTCTTCACCTCATTCCTTGACCAAAGGTATGGGGAGGGAGGGGGGAGTAAGGGGAGGAGAGGAAGTGTAATGCCACACATATGGCACCAAGTCAAAGAAAGAGCATTCATGGCTGTCCTGGCTATCTACAACAATTACACAATTTCTAGAGATGGATTACATTAAATTGTCTGAAATCGAGAACATTAACTACTAGCCAATCAGGCTTAAACTGCTGTTTTCATCATCCTTGCACCCTGCAGCTCAGGCTGAACAGCAAAAATATCTCCTTAACCTGCTGCATTCTCATTTTCTTCTCCTAAAGAGTAAAATGTTCAAAGGTGCATCCTATTGGATCATAATCATGGAACTATGCTCTAAAGAGCTCAGGGCGATTCAGTGCAATTCAGAAAGCAAGGGGTGAAGGTCAAATTGTGGATGACACAGAAACAGTGTGCATTCTTTTCTTTTTCTATTTCTTAGCAACAAATATTTTTAAAGCATATATAGAAACTGTAGACATTTGGCAATTAACAATGAGAATGTTTACAGATAGTCAAGACCAGGAGGAAAAAAAGTATCGGGTAGAATATGAAGAAAAGAATATTGGGCAGAATACTGCCATTTTCAGATTCTGAGTGTAAAAGAAAACCTTGGCATCTTTCAGACATTAAAGGTATATGCCTCATGTAAACAGATGTATTCAATAAGGTGATCTATATCTTCTCTGACAGAGTTCAGTCAAGACTTGTCAAGTATGCCAATAAATAAAACAGCTGAGAAAGGATTTAGCCTTCTCCTTACTGTTAGGAGCAGTAGAAGGAGAGATTTAATCTCCAGTCAGTGACAGCTTCAGCCTTTTAGGATAATCTACACTAATTATCCGTTCCTACTCCTTTCCTTAAGTGGTTTGCTGAGGGATGCAGGGACAAGAAAGATGCAAAGGCTATATATGCCCACATGATCATCAACTACCAGACTGCCTAAGCTGAAGTAATTTAGAGCAGTCTTACATGTAATTCCAAATGAAGTGTCTTAGTTTCCAATCCCATGCTGCCACACACACCAAATGATGCCTTAAGCTCAATTCAGCTTAATTAAACCAAGAACATTCCAACGGATGCCCACCAAGAGACCTACAAATTAAAATGCTTCCTCAAAATTTCAAAAATATTTCAAAATATTAAGTTCTTCCTCCTTTTCCATAATCTACGCTAATTTTTAATATATCAAATGTGTCCACAAAGCAAAAGTCATCCTGTCCACAGACATTTTCAAATAACTTCGACTCAAGAAAACCTCAGAGGAAAAGCAAACTATCTTCTCCCATGTATAGTTGCTATCATGATTATGCACAAACTAGCAAGAATTTCCTTGCTTAGTATAATCCAAAAAAAATCTACTTTTATCGCGTATTCTTTATGCTACAGAATAGACGTTGAGTAACCTAAAACACTTTAGAGAAACAGGAGTAAAAAATGTCAGGTGAGATGTTTATAATTATATCCTGTCATCCTTAGGATATTGGTTTTAAATTCTCTCCCCAACTTCTTTAATTTAATGATCTTTCGCTACACATCACCCTTGAGTGCAATGACAAAGACACAAAATATTTAACATGGCTGTAAGGGGCTTTTCATAGAGACACAGATAATGCCTTATGGGACATTTTTCTTGCCATGGCTGTAAAAGTCTGACGAAATGAATGATCTGTTCCTTCTATACTTTAGCTTACACAGCAAGACAGGACAGTTGCATGTCTTTCTAGAGATGGAATATAATAATTCACCACTGGAGAAATTCTAAAAGCTTTTCTCAAATTGAATTGTATTTTCTTTCCCCTTGTCCCTCCCTTTCCTAGTGGGGGTCACTAAAGTGAACAGCAGCAGCTTTTGACTCCCCTGATTACAGCAAAACTGCTGTAATCATATACCTGCGCTACTCGCAGTGAACAGAAGTATAATGGACCCCCACAAGCTTTATTTGCTCTTTTCACACATGCACTTACCAATCCTTCCAGATTTCTTCATCTTTAATTTATTCCTTTATTTCATTACCAAGTAAACTTAATATCTCATTCCTAGAACAGAAGACACGGAGCCTTACAATTCTTCTACGCAGCATGCAGGCACATTTGTCATTATAGGGCTATATAAAAGATTTTGAATCTCCTGTGAATCAGGCATTAGCTTTGCTATATCAGGAAAGAGCATTAAAGAAAATACTGCGAGAAAATGGAGACTTACAGCTACAACGATTTTGCAGGTAGACATGAGACTAAGAATGCAAGTCAACCTTTCTTCCTTTATTATTAAATTGCTAGAAAGACCTGACAGCTATTCTCTAGCATTCTAGTTTGAAATGTTAGTTCCTCCAGGACTCCTCTTATGCCTTCCAACTACTCTTGACCTGCAGAACTCTTGCAGTTTATCAGCATGAACTATCACCTCATAACTGCTATACAAGATGTGATTTTGATTAACTGTAGAGCCTCTTGCTTTCCCTGACCTAGTGATATACTAAATTTTCCAGAAAATCAGAAGAAAGGCCAGATGATAATTTCAAAGACAGACAAAAAATTATTCCCCTCTCTCACACTGGAATTACTTTGTGGAACTCATTACCACAGTATGTTCTGGAAGTTAAAAAAAGATCAAGTTCAAAATACATTAATGAGTTCATGTGCAATTAAACAAGATGAAGAAGCTGAAACTTCAAGCTAAGAAAATCCCTAAAGAGTTGATTGCTAAGAGTCAAGAGTATACCAGGGAAAGGATTCTGCCTTCTTTTACTGTTCCTTAATCATCTATTATCAAAAACTGCCAGAGACATTACACTGAGATAAACAGACCTCTGTCCTAAACAATTACTTTGTCTTTATGTTCCTGAAAACCACATGAACTTACTTTCCAGCTTTGAATAATATCAGGGTCCACGGAAGAATCTTTTACAATATATTAAAGGTATGCAGCAAAATAAGTTTAGCATGCAAGGTTATTGAAGGAAAGGGCCAATATTTAAATAGACACACAGGGTAGGCATTCCACTGGAATAAGTTGTTTTGAGCCCTTTGAACTTCCACAAGTCTGGTTCCTACACTTCTACTCAGTAGTTCATGCAGATTTATGCAGTTATCGCTTCTTCCAAATAAATAATCTAGCCTTCAGCTCAGAAAAAAAGAAACTGTTATACTTCAGCCTCCAGAGATCTCTAGGTTCAGACCCTGAAAGCATCAATGAAAAAATAAAATGAGAACCTTCTAAACCAGCCTGAGTTCATTTTCCCCCTTGCACAGTCAATTACTGAAACAGATCAATAATTTTCTATTGAAAAATGCTGACTGAAGAGACAGAAAATATGCCATGAGGACATGTTTATTCTGCTAAAACTCTCCTCAGAAAACAGGCAGGCAGGCACTCACAGTGGTCAACCAGCTGGCTAGCCTGGCTGGCTTCTTCCCAGCTTGCGCCTAACCAGCCAGGCAGGCAGCAGGCCAGCCAGCCCCTCACTGCTAACTGGGAAACCCGCATATTTGTGGAAACTGAAACAAATTGTTCTGTTTTGCCTGAAGTTCCAGGATGTTGACATTCTGTTCCAGCATGGAATGGAACAAAATGTCAACAACTCAGAATTTTCCACAAAACAAAAATACCCTTTTCCGGCCAACTTTAGTCATAATCTGTATGTGTGCGGTTATCACCACCTCTCCACAAAACAACTGTTTCATAATTCCACTTCAGAAGCAAGGACTGAAAGACAATGAGTACTGAGCAATGTCCTACGTTTATTAAATTAAACAGTTTAACATATGAGACAATTCTGAACAATAGTATTGGAGTAGAGGGTTTAGTATTTTAAGACTGCTACAGTTGAACACTGACTTCTACAGGACTTCCATAAAAAATAGCTGTTTTCTTCTTACATTCTTTCAGTGTCTGCTGCCGGCCACTGTCAGAGAATAAATACCCAGCTAGTTGAACTGCAAATACTGTCATTATTGCAAGGGGGTATTTAGAATTGATAGACTTACGTTCTCTAATTATTTCTCTCTCCTCTCCCCTCAAACTTTGCCACAACTATTGTATGTTAATTTCTCTCTGGAAAAAGAAATTATCTCTGCATGTATGGCTATACAAGAGCTACGTGTTGTCTGAGAAGTGGACCAAACCCTTGCCCTCATACTTTTGGATGAAAATAGTTATTTAATGAGCATATTTAGATCTGAATCCTTTAGAAGGTGGACCATTGTCACTGGAAAGAAATACCAATCTTAAGTATTTTTCATACTGGCTCACTGTTTTCCGTCCCATTCTGTTTAGAAACCCTGAGCCAACACCTGGAGTACCTCAGACACCGTGGAGGTGACATGGATGCTGAAGATCAGATCCTTGAGAGTCTAAATGAGATTCTCCTGGCTCTTGCTGAAGATAGCTAAGTATCACTGTAGACCACTTTCTAACTATTTACATAACCCAAAAGCATTCCCTGGAGCTTTTCATCTATTGTGATAATATGTGTCAAAACAAGTGGTGTTATTTTCTCTTCGCATACTCTCAAATCTACCTGTGACCTGATAAAGTTACTGGTCAAAAACACCTCAAGTCTCAAAGAAACTTTCAATCTCATATTCCATTGAGAAACAAACTCTTAGGATTAAAATTGGGATGACCCAATTCAAATACAGGTTTAATAGGAACTGACTACTGTAAAGCACTCAGCCCAGGTATACAAGTGGGCACAGAGACTACTGGAATACATTTCAAGGAATATTTAGTAAATTAGGTAAAATTGTTAGTAACAGATCTAGAAGAACAATGCTAAATTCACTTAAGACACACAAATTACTGATTTCTAAGGCTAAGTATATAACATTAACGATGAAAATGCAGTATTTATTCATGTAACATAGGAGGGAATAACAGACAATGTATTCAATTTAAGTAACTGGACACATTTCAGTTTATAGCTGTTTATTCTACATTAGGTACGGTAGTCATTACGTAGATGAACAAAAAAGGATTTCTGGAAGAATTTTCATATGAATAAGCATTTAGGCTAAAGCTCCTGAAACATGTTCTGAAACACAGATGACTCAAATATTCAAATAATCTCCAAAATTAGAGCAAAACAAAATTCCTAATTTACAGGCTTTATTTTTATCTGAGCTCCCTGTTACTATCAGTCTCATCTCTCTCCTAAGTCTGTTTACTCCTTTTCTGGACCTCTAGAGAAAAAGCCTCCAGAAAGTTAACGAGTGTAAACCTATAGGTAAAAGAGGTAGGGGAACAATTAAATTTCAATTAATTTTTTCTACAGGAGACAAGGGAAACCTCGTCCTTTCACTCTAAGGGATCAGTTCAAAATCATTTCACTGGGCTCTAAATATTAAAACCACTGGTAGCAACAACTGTCTATACTGACCTCACCTTGCTTTCCGCTTTTTAAATACAGAGCACTTATTAGTGCTGTTCCACAGGCTTGTACAAAAAGATCTGGCCGATCGGCTCCAGTCCCCAAGCCCTTTCAACATTTCAGACATCTGATTTGCAAAAACAAATTTAGCATTTGAGAGGATAGTAATAAGGCCTGTCAAGGGGTAATTATTCATTAATTGAGGATCTATTTAATCTTTATTGAGGCAGCAACAGCTTGTTTTACCTGTCAGCATTCATGGGGCAGTAGTTGTCTCTTCAGGGCACAGACA